TCCATGAATATACTATTCATTCTTCCCACAAGTTGCCTGGGTCCTGCCACTGTCTCAGCCCCCAAATAACACATGAGACACTGTATTAACTGTGAAGCTGTTGGCCATTTGCTATGGTTTCTTAATGGCTAGCTCTGACTTAATTATTAACCCATAATTACTAATATATTTTTGTGAAGTCTTATCTTACCCAGGACTCAGCCTCATGTGTCCTTTCTTCCCAGAATCACATGGCAACTCTCCACTCTTGACTACATTTCCCAGAATCCTCCTTAACTCCTAGCCCCACCTATCTTGCTTCCCTATTGGCCAACAGTGCTTTATTTATCAACCAGTCAAACAACATATACACAGAAGGACTTCCCCCATCACATGTGATACCTCTTCTCAGCTCATTTGATTTCTTCTCTTGTACAATTATCTAAAAAATAAAATTATATTCTCTATCTCCAGGCAATATATTGTCCACCCTCTCCATTCAGGGTTTATCTATTTTCAGAACTCTATCTGCTGCCCCAAATATTTCATGATACTGGAGATGGCCTATTCAAATAAATGATCAAATGGCTTTGCTTCTAGAATGTTAGCTTCTATGATAACATTTCTTACTTGGGACATTTCTAGCCTTTCTCCCATCTGATGTCTCTGCAAAACAGAACTGTGATAGGGATATTCTGTCATCCAGGGCTACCAGCTTCAGCCAGGATTTTCTTTTAATTCTTACTTTCCTGAAGGATTGTCAGACAGTATGACATGAGTACATGGTCCAAAGTCATCTGAATTTTTGTCTATTTTTTCTTTTGCTAAGCAATTTCTTAACTTCCCCTCAGTTGGTGTCTTGAGGAATATGCTGGTACTTGGTAGAAGGAGGAGCCAGGAGATGTGTTTCCATCTAAGAGGTTGTAGAACTTCTTTCCTTCCTTTTTAGTTTGATGTTTTGTGCCTGTTACCTCCTCTTCCAAGTAGGCTTTGAGGTATATCTACCTTTATCTGGGAAAGATAATTTAAATGTGTTTTATTATAGAAAAGTACATTGATAGAAAAGGGATACACCATTTTTAATGACTGCCATTCAACCAAGTCACCTCTCACTCAACCTTCTCAATCCTGGGATGTTAAAATTAGGCCAGTTAGATATTAGATTCACATTTTAGTTACTAGAGCTTGGGTCACATTTTTTACCATGTATATACCTTTAAGTTTGTCTACATGTGCTTTATTTATACTGCTGCCTGGTCTTTGGAATGCTTTCATGGGGCTTGGTAGAAGGTTTGAAAGAGAAGTTAATGGTTGCTGCTGCAGCCTTCAGAATGCTGCTGTCTCTCCTCTGTCCTATACCCAGTCTCTGGCTCAGGAAACCATCTCTCATTTTCCATACTTGTCTGTTGGCATATGAAGTCTTCACAGTGACCCATGTGGTTATAGAATTTGCAGGTAATTATGAGTCAGAGTAAACCACAGTCATTGCTCACTGTGTGATCCAGAGCAGCTAGCTGGACTATGCAATATTTGCCTCATTTTCCCGAGCCAGGAAAAGAACAGAGGGATGGTAAAGCTGTGTACAGAGTTAGATCAAAACTACACCATACAGTGAAACCATTGCCCAGCAAGTGACTTCCCAGGATCAAATGGGGATAAAAGACAATTTAAAGACTTGTGGGGGATTTCTCTCTATAATTCTCCCAAATATGTCATAGGTTTTATCATCTGATGACAGAATACTTTAAAAACAGTTATAAGTAGCTAACAAAATTCCCATGTACAAGTAGCATTTTCTCTAAGAAAGACAGCAGATACTACATGATCCCTGTTGCTCAAGTCCAATGCAGTCACCACACGACTAACCTGGAGTAATGATGGAAGGGCCCATTTACATTGAATTCAAAATTGAATTGCAGAATTCTTTCTAACACCCTGGCCTGGTTGGATCCAGACCACAGGAATGGGACTTTCAAGTTAGTGTAGTCAGAATCGATAGCATTGATATATTATCAAGAGATAATGGACTGTGTTAAAATTTAGATTATTTTTAAAGCACACTGTAATAACACCAAGATTGAAGTCTTATTAGTATTACTTAACATGCAAGACAATAAATTTCTCAGGTGTTTGACACCCTGAAAATAAATCCATGACATCAATGTCAACCCATTGGCTATACACATGGCTTACAAGCATACACAGTTTCCTTGTCACTTGTTCACTTTCAGAGTCACTAAAGCCCCTTCACCACTGACTTCCAAACTCAGTTAGTAACACACTGTCAGGACTGCACCTCAGAGAGGTGAGCACTAGGCATCACCACGGGGTGGGAAGTGATCTTTGTCAAGTTACACTTCTCAACAGACTACAAAAAAAAAGTGGCTGGTCAGTCCAAATGGACTCACCTGCCATGTCTGTGTCACCTGCCTTTACGTGCTATAACCTGATGCATATTCATGTCTGCAAATCATACTTGAAAGGAAACTAATGACATCAACTTCTGTTGACGTTAAACACCAGGACATCTTGTAAAGACTCCAGATGTTTCTCGGTACCCTGTTCTCTGCAGAATGTGTGTGCCGGGCGTGTTCCTTCAGCTTGTTTACTATATGATCCTTCTAGCTTGTAAGAGAAGAAGTCAGTGGGATAAATATTTTGTTCTTTCATTCAGACCAAAATGTAGCTTGAGTTTTTTTTTATTCCTCTAATACTTTCGTTACATGCATTTTTAAAAATCAAACCCTCGGTTGAGGATAGTTGCTCTTTTCTGAAGCCCGCCTTTGTTCTTCCTAGGTTTCATTCTTCTTTTATTTTCTGTGGTATCACTGGGAAATCAATCTGGCTCATAGTTATTTGCTTCCCGTTTAGCCACAAGGTATAAATTTGCTAACTGAAAAGGCGTGCTCTGGCAGCTAGTCTCCGTGTACATCCAAAGGCTAAGCTAGCTGTACTGGAAAATTTCCCTGGAGGGTTACACTGTAGAATGCAGAGCCATTTGTTGAGCTGTCTGATGTGGAAGAACAAAGCACCTGCCTTAGAGAAATGGGCTCACAGGGTGCCTTTCAGAGCAGAGAGAGAAATCAAAGGATAACTTCCGGTCCACATCCATTTCCAAGCTTGTTCTTGGCAACTAGGGCTTCAGAGATAGTTTCTTGCAGTATTTTTCAAGAAGTCACTAAGAGATAGATAACCCCCAAAGAAGAGCTTATAGCAAACACACGGGCTGTGCTGGGAAATTACTACCAACCCAGAACTTGTCTGTTTGTCTGTCTGTGTCTGACACACACAAGTTCTACATGGGTCTCCGCCAATGTTTGGAGACAGAAGAGAACATACACTGCATCGATTTCAGAGTCCAAAAAGGCATTTCAACAAAATTAAAGATCATTAAATATTTGATTGAATGGATGTGAAATATTTAATATCAACTTTATTAAGTAACAAATTTATTAGTCTTAAAAGTTATATTGCACAGAGCTGGAGAGATGGCTCAGCTGTTAAGAGTGCTGGTCGTTCTTCCAGAGGACCCCCATTCAGACCCCAGCACCCACATTGTGACTCACAATTGTCTATAACTCCAGGCCCAGGGGACCCCACGCCCATGTCTGAGGGCACCAGGCATGCACAGGATACACATACATTGCATATGAAGCACCCATACGCATAAAATAAATATATTTTTAAGATAAAAAATTATCCTGTTATATCACACATGACAACAAATTGTGGATTCAGTTTTCTTACTTTCCAGGATTTTGAGCATGCCAGTCATAAGTGGCACATAGCCAGTCATTTCTATTTCAAAGGATTCTCTCCATCTTTCCCACAGGGGAACACATTGCATGTGGAATAGGGAAGCTATCATTCTTTACATGATGTGTGCGGTGGGACCTACAACTGGCGAGCATGCCACTGGTGAAGATGTTTTAGACCACACTGCACCTCCTCTTCACACATACAATTCTCGCCACAGATTCATCTCTGTTCAGGCTCCATCAGGAGGACCAGAGGTTATCCAGAGGAGGAAGGTTGAGGTCCTGGTTTGTTCTTGCTGTAACCACCCATGGTCAGAGTAAAATGACAGTGGAGCATGTGGCACTTACAAAGCACCTGTACATCCCTAGAAAGGCCCCAGAATAGCCCCCACTCTATGTAAGAAGGAAGTCCTCTTTGAGATGGTGAAGCAAAGCCATCCAGTTGGGTCATACCAATGGAAGCCCCCACTCTATGTAAGAAGGAAGTCCTCTTTGAGATGGGGAAGCAAAGCCATCCAGGTGGGTCACACCAATGGAATCCTGGCGTCCTTTTGTCTTGTGTTCTTTCCAGGTGGATGACCTGACCTTCATTTGCCCTCTGTTCTATTGAATATTTCTCCCACCTGTTGTAGAATAGGACCTGTAAGATGGTGGGGACAGGGAAAGGCATGGGTTGTCTGGGTTCCATTTGGTAATCCTGGTCTTTAATCTGGTGGCCTAACTTCTTCAGGTATTATTTTATTACCATATGTGGGGCAATAGATATAAACTCCCTCCAAAACATGAAAAGCGACATTTCCTTGTAATCCCATCACCAAACAATAACCATTCATGACACTAATCCTTGCAGAACCTTTTCCTTTACATACAGTAAGATATTACTGGCTTATCTTTGTTAAAGCAAGACCATATATGGTTGTAAAAATATTTTTCACTCAATGTATTCCGATTTCAGTACATGGGTATTCATCTCATGTATTTTGATGGTTTCATAGTATTCCTCTATGTAGCTGTGCCATAGTTGATTTCACTGCCTTTTATTACTAAACGTTAGAGTTGGAAATTCAAGTTTGACTTTTCAAGAGAATGGATCACGTATCTAAAAATAAAAACAAAAATTAACTTAGCACCCCTACTTTGACTTAACTCATACCAGAAGTAGAAACAACCATCTCTATATTGGTGTCTGTTATTAAATGTAAAGCCTGTGCAGGATTTGTTATTTACTTCTTTGTGTTTTGTTTTTGCCCTTTCCTTATGCAGTCATCTACAGCTGGGGACAAGGAAGAGCCGGCCTTACCGGTAGGGAGCAGTAGCCCTGCCAATTCCTGTGCCTGTGGAGAGTGTGTGGCAGGGGTGGAAAGGGAGCTCCATGCTTGCAAACCTTCCTCTCCCTTGGAATACTTGTGGTTTGACCTACTGGAGGGAGGAGGGTATATATTTCTGTTCTACAATCAGTAACAATTGAACTCCGGCATTCACTCATAAATTATTTCTGGTCTTATGTTTCAAAACCTTGAACTCTTTCTTCCACTGGACATGAACTTTTATAAGTGTTGAAGGGGTGAGAAATGTCTAAATTACATTCCAAGGGATGCTGGCTGATATGTGGGGACAGTGTGGGATCTAATGCTTGAGAAATGTTTTCTCTGTGTGTCTGCATGCACACCCCCTTTGAAATGCTGCATGAGATATAAAGATTCAGTATATCAAACACTGCCTGAAAGAATGTTTAGTGTCTTCCATAGACATAATTCATGTCTAAAGAAGATACACACAATGGAGTTCTTGTGGTCTCCCAGAGTACCAACCATAGCAGCAGTGGTTATTGTGACAAATTACTAACAACAACCACATTTTCAGTTGCTCTCCAATTAACACATGACATTTCATATTGTGCTGCATGGCAAGGAAATAACCTTGTGAGTTTTTTGTGTTCAACAAGCAGTTATTACATTTCCACTGGATTTCAGTCTGCTACCTTTGCCCCTAGAATAATTTGAACCTTGCTGATCTGAATCCCCTATAACTAAATGCCACAGTGCATTTGAAAATGTTACAGGCTTTTAAGGATGAAAGGAATAGCCATGAAAATGTTTGTGACCCTGTAATCGTACCTTCCATTAACACTCAAAGCAAAGGGGTGACATTCACTGAGCGCCCAGAGGATACACTAGACTCAGGAGCAAGGTACAGCTCAAACTCCAAGCTTCCTTTGAAGTGCTCAAAATGTCGTTCATCACTCAGACACCAGTATTCTCCTTCATTCACCTGCAAACTCTGACAGGTTGGGAATGAAGCTTTACTAAAATATGAATTATAATAAAATCATTACTGATTTCTCCCTGTATTACATTCTGAGGTTTTACCCATACTTCAATCTTGCAATAGGTTCTAGGTTTACCACAAAATTTTTGAACCATGAAACTTAGTAAGTATTGTATGGAATAAGAGACATAAGACCAGTAACTTGGAACCATATTTATTTTGTGTTACACAGGGTTGACATCTGATGTAAGTATTCTAAAGATGAGTTATTCTGAGGATGAATTATACTAGTAGACATCACCCTGTCTAAATGTGTTAAATTATAGAGTCTCATGGAATATCTGTGATGGAGAATTTTGGAATACTTAGTGAAAATGGGGTTTTAATTTTGCCAGACCACAGAAAATTTTCTTGTCAAGTTTTTGGACCAACAGTTCAATTTTTTAAAAAGATCTAAATCAGGCATGGTGGCATATGCCTTTAATTCCAACACTCAGGAGGAAGAGGCAGGCAGATTTGAGTTCAAGGTTAACCTGGTCTACATAGGGAATTCTAGGACAGCCGGGGCTACACAGAGAAACTCTGTCATGAAAAAATAAAACAAACTAAAAAAGAAATTAATCTGCTTATAGCAGGTCTCCTCCTCAAATCTGTCTCTAAGTTCCCTGATGCCCACCACCACACAGTCAATCACAGAGAAGAATGTGTTGTCTAGTCAGGATTAAAAAGCTGTCCAAATAAAGGGGGTTAGGGTGACTTTGGTCTGATTTAAGACTGTTTGCTTTTGAAGACAAAAGTAAGAGTTTGTTGGCAACCCCACCTCCTCAAGTTCTCTAGGGTCCTCAAATCTCAGTTCCAGCTGTTGGAGTAAAAGATCACAACCCGAAGAACTCGGTGCCAAGGAAGCTTCCTGGAAGCCAGGAAGGGTCTGTATGAAGTCAGTACAGGAAACTCCCCTTCAGGTTCTCACTTAACATGGACCACAGAACTTTCTGGATCAAAAGGTAGAGATAGGAACTCCAGAAGACATGTAAGATGATATGGATGTAGGCATGGCTGTTGCCATAGGCACAGATACAAACAAAGATCTTTCTGATAGGATACACAATCCAAAAATGCTAAAGACTGTCTGCTAGGTCATGAAGAGTCTTTAAGAAAAGTCAGCCTGGAATTCTCAATCCAACACTCTCTCTCTCTGTTTGTGCGACCCAGAACCTCACTTCACTTGTCAGAGACTTCAATTTAATACTAACAATATCGATCCCATGAGGCTTATTCTGAGAACTTAATGAGTGAATGGTGTGAAGCATGCCAACCATTGCCTGCCGTGTACTAACCTCTTTTGTTAAAAGAGCGCAGGGGGTGGGCAAAATGGATTCATGTAGTAGAAAAGCCATGTCCTTGGGACGTTTGAAAGGTACTTTGAAATCCTTTGGTTCAACTCCATGTAATGAGTAATGGAAATGAATGGCCATGGGCTGGGTGCGACTGCTCTCTGTGGTGCACTTGACATTCATTTCTGAGAACTAACCGCGTCTTTGGTTTCTCTGCTCAGGCCAAGCCGCGTCTCCAGCGCGGTGGAAGTTCTGCCTCCCTCCACAACAGTCTCATGAGGAATAGCATCTTCCAGCTCATGATTCACACCCTTGACCCCCTCGCCGAAGGTAACCATCAGGCTTTGGCTTGGGATCGTTGCTTTGGGAAGAGGAAGATGACAAATACTTTGCTTTAAAAAAAAAAAAAGAAGCATATGTATGGTGAGGTTTCATGCACCTGTCAAACTCCTCTTGGTTAACATCGTTAGTTGAAACCTTGACTCTGCCAAGCGCTTCATTCTGCCAGTTCCTGACAGTGTGGTTTTATGGCAGGGGTGGAATATGAGTTCCATGTACTGATTCTGTCTTTTGATGCCTCTGGCATAAACACAGTTTGTTATGAGGCAGGAACAGAAGGGTCTCCCTCCCGTCCAGTATTTCCCTTTATCACTTTCAAAACAAAATTGTTTGTGAAGATAAATTGTGTACCTTAAAAAGAATAGGAAAAAGAACACTATTCCTGGGGAGGACTATGAATGATTTAGGGGAAGGTGTTCTCTGAAGACCAGTGATATGCATGGTACTATTTTTTTGGCAGGTGGATAGGGGTAACATCTCATCATTCAAAGAGACTAGTGTAACTCCTTGGGACCAGTCATTGGAGACCTCCCAGGGCAATTGTAAGAACTATCACAAGGAGTTCAGTATTATGTCTTTCCAGTTTTACTTAGTCACAAAAGCCAAATCTACCTTTTTTTCTTCCATGACATAGGTATCCTAAACATGATTCTTGTAGTAGGTAGAATCTGCTATAAATAAATAAGTGGTCAGAGCTCTGACATGAGCATGGGACCCTAACCCTGAACTTTATCACCCTTCCCAAGGAAACAAATAGAAACTGTGGGACAAGTAGACTAAGAAGTAGGCACGTGTCACTGAACAGATAGGGGAGATCTGATGGTCAGTCATGTTTCATATATTATATGTCTTACTGAAAATCAACTTCTGCCAAGGTCTTTCCAAACTAGAGGTACTCAAGACTTACATGGTATAAAGGGCATCTGGGGATCCAAAGACCAGCTCCCCAGACCCTGTCTATCCCATTGGACATAAGCCTCTCCTTAGAATAATAAGTGAAGACCACAGGTCACATCCCACTTCAAAACACAGAGCATTTAAGTTACAAAGCACCCATCCTACCCCTAGAGCAAACTTGTTATGATGCTTCCCAAGAAACCATGCTTCTCACTCCTTGTTTTAACTGAAGGAAGTGACCACTGTTGGAACAGCTGAGGTATCATCACTCTGTTCACCCAATGGTCCATTTGATAGGGGGATTAGACACAACCGCCATCCTTCTTTTCTTTCATCCCCAACAAAAGGAGGGAAGGAATCATTTTCACTTACTCCTACCCCCTGCCACTATACAATCATGTGACTTTGGGTAAGTTAGGGTCTCCGTCTAGAATCTGGCTTCTTCATCTATCATAGCACTTTTCTTTATTGGACTCTTTACAGTTGACAGCATCTTCATGCTCGTGAGTTTATGATCCACCACAACACTGTATTATTCTCCTTCCATGGAGGACTGTATGACCAACAGCGATTCCAGATGAGCCTACTGCTCACCCTTTGCCATCATGTTCTTTTGGCCATCTTCTTGCTTCCTCTGCAGGCTTAGGGCTCATCCTTTTGCATAGCTTCCCCCTGTTGCCCACACAGTAGCCCAGGTCATCAGTAAAAGCCACCCGGGATATGGAACCACCTACTTAACAACCTTCAGTGGCTTTCTAGGGTTCTTAGGAAAACTGTGAAACCCTCACCACGGTCGCCAGGATACCTTTCTCATTGCAAACTTGGTTGGACTTGTTTTGCTTAGGAATGGGGGTTCCCATATTCAGATAGTTGCTCCCACCAGTCTTAGCATCTTAGCTGTTTCTACCACCAGAACATTCTTCCTTCCCTCCACCCTTCTCCCACCTTCCCTTGCTGTCCCCCTCCCCCCCTCAGCCCTCTGACCCTCCAGCACAACCCAGGGCCTCGAACCCTCACCTGTGCATCTTCCCCTTCCGCTCTCCTTACAGCACCCATTGCACTCCCTGTGGTTGTTTCCTAATGCCCAGGTTCTGGAGAGCATGGGTGCTGTGTCATTCAGCAGTTGTCCCCAAAGCCTAGCAGAGCACCCAGCGCATCATTGCTACTGAGGCCAAGTTCTAAAGCCTCCTGAAAGCCAGTTCAGGCTTGAGGCTGTCAAGGAATTGATCTGGGAGTATTATGGGACACCATCTCCTCTACTCCTGTTTCTCTAGAGAATCAACTGAGAAAAGAACGGTTGTTTCTGTGCTGGTTCTGTCATGGCAGCTGCTGAGGCGTTTGATTTCTGAAAATGCAATATTATATGGTAAAGAGGAAAGGCCCCAGGTCCAGATATTGTGACTCTGGATCCCACGTCTGCATTTACTAGTTATGTGACCTTGAACAAGCTACCTGTCCCTATCTCAGTTTCTTCACCCATAAAATCAGGATGATCACGATGTCTGCACTGTAAAGCTGCATAAGGATTGAAGGCATGAGTACACAGAGAACACTGCCAGTGTGCTAACCGGGTTTGCGGTTGTTCACATACACACATACACACACGTTACTGCGATGAGCTTGTACAGTAGTATAGTGTGGGGCGGGGTCGAGCTTTGAGGTGTTCAAAGGGATGTCGTAAAAACAAGCTTTCCTCCTCTACCAGTTTTCTCCGGTTCCCCAATTCTCCCTCAAAGAAATCATTATTATCAAGTTCTTGGGGCTCCTTTCTATCTTAAGTAAGTGTGTGTGTGTGTGTGTGTGTGTATGTGTGTGTGTTGTGTGTCTATGTGTGTTGTGTATGTGTATGTTGTGTGTCTGTGTGTTGTGTGTTTTGTGTGTATACTATCTGTGTGTTGTGTGTCTATGCTGTGTGTGCTGCATGCTGTGTCTCTGTGTTGTGTGTGGTGTGCATGTATCTATGTGTGTGTTTATGTGTGTCTGTGTGTTGTGTATATGTGTGTGTGTGCTGTGTGTGTCTTTATCCCTAGGTCTGAACAGTCTAAGTGTCTCTTTAGTTGGGAGGATTCCGTTTCTGAAAGGGCTTGTTTTTGTTTTTCTGCTTGAAGGGGAGGTTGTGTTTTGTTTCTGTGAGATAAGGAAAAGTGGATCTGGGTTGTCTCGGAGTTGGGCCATCAGTGATTTTCCAAAACACCTGGTCCTTGTGGAGGTAAGCTGCAATTAAGCTGTTTGCTCCTGCTGCTGTAGCAAGAGGCCTTTCTGAATCTGGGCACCGGCTTTCAAGGTGAAACCTCTCCCTGAAAGACAAGGGCTTCAGAGGCATGAATCTGAGAGATAATCAGTTCTGCACTTGAGTGACTGAAAATATACTGAAAGCACTTTGACGATTTAAAATTGTCCCATAGCACAAAGCCGAGAAAACAGCTTGCTCTGATACCCCCCAAAAAATATTCACAATCACTTTCCATTTCAAGAGCAGCCAAAAACTTAACCCACTGCTTCCCCAGAAATAGTCACCTCTCTTAGTATAGGTTTCATCACTTGAATTCACATGTCCTTGTGCCAAGCTACAACCTTTGAAGAATATGAAGCACGCCAGCTCTGTCTGCAGGCTGACCCCATAAACACTGCAACAGCTTCCATGTGCAGACAGTTCTCGGTGCTCCTGGCACTCACCAGGCTGAGAGGCACACTGGCACCAGTGGTGTACAGCCAGTGTTCACAAACGGGGGGCTCAGTTTCATTGAAAACATTTAAAACAGATGGCCTGTAGGAACATATTTCCTGGAGTCTCATCGGTGCCACACAGGTAGTTGACTGAGCCATAGCTAACATCCTCCATCAGCAGCTGGCTTAGCCTCTGGACCTGAGTCCCACAATCCAGCAGTGTGTACCCACTTTCCATTGGTAAATCACAAAGCACTCAAGACCCAGAGCTTGACTTTATGATGGGAATTTGTTTTGCAATCATCTGGGTGATTCTCCCAGTCCATATAGTGTCGATGGAGGTTATTTAGTGATACCTATCTGGTCAACAAATAGATTGAAAGATCCAAGAGGGCCTCCCTCACATGTAATCTTTTAAAGGAAGATCTCTGACTCTCCATGTTGTCTTTGGTCCTGTGCCCAAAGCCAGATGTCCCACTTAATGGCTAAGGGTTCCAGGAGTAGACCTTCTAGGAAGTCCCAGAACCTCACTTCCCCTACATCCCTCCATCCGACAACGCAAAAGCTGCTCCAGACCATAAAGAAGGTTGTGTGGCTTTGCTTCTCAGGAGAGCAATACCAGAAGGCTTGGAACCATCTTGTAATTTAACACAGACCGTTTTACTCACCTGTTTGTGATTGTTTGGTGGGCCAGAAGCAATCCACATTTGGTGGAGTGACAACCCATAGTCAGTCCACCAAACGAAACTGACCTGCGTCTTTTCAGGCACACAAAACTATGAGCATGGATTGTTCATGAATACAAGGTCTCAGACTCAGCCTAAGGCTCTTAAGATAGTTGAAATAGATCAAGACAGAGCGTTGCTGCTAGTTTCAGGCCGATCTAGGCTACGAAGAAAGACCCAGTATCAGAAACCAAAAAGAGGACAGAAGTAAGAGAGAAAAAAAATGACTGAAATACAGTCCTGGGGAACCAGAATTTGAGATTATACCATGCCTGTCTGAACTGATCCTACTAATAAACTCGCTGTTCTGTATTGATTTTAACATTTTTCTAAATAAGAGCCACCTTTATTAACCTAACATACGAGGTGCTGGGTGGGGTACTTTGAAGCATGAGGCACCCTGTGCTTTGGATGTATGTGAAAAGAAGCACACATATTTGCAGGGTGCTTACTGCAGACCAGGCAGTCTGCTATGAGCTCCGTGTGAAGCAGTGTCACTCTCTCCTGGACCTACTCCATCATGCAGAGGACATGGAGTAAGAGAAAGGGAAAACACCCATATCCCAGCACTACATTTCTGAGAAAGCCCATGACCTAGTGACTACATTGGAGAACAAAACAGGTGGGATGACATCATAGTTTGTCCATGTACACCTGGGTTGTGTGTCATCCAAGAATCACACTGCCTGGGTTCAAATCCTA